TTGGGGTTTAGGGGTTCAGGGGTCATGGTTTAGCATGTAGGGATTTAAGGACCTTTTGCTTTAGGGAAACGCTGGGGCTTTTTCGTTTTCATCGTCATAGCAACCGCTAGAGTTACGAACGAAGTCTACCCGGAGCTTAGGGTTTAGTATTCAGGGACCTTAGGAAAGTCAGAGGTTGGCTAATCTGAGAGAATCTGGGGCAAATTCGACCCGCGAGGGCGAGTGACTAAGCAAGAGTCTCCAGCATGTGGTGCTTGGCCGCGAGCAGACTCTTGCCACGCGGAGTGAAGGAAAAGAGCCTCTTTAGGGTTTCGGGTTTTGGGGTTNNGGGTTTTGAGGTTTAGGGCTTAGGAGTTTAGGCATTTAGGGTTTACGGTTTAGGAGTTTAGGGTTGAGCTCTTAGGGTGCCCCCCCAAAGAAAGCTTTGACTCAGATATAGTTTTAGAGCTTTGTTTCTAGTGTTGTTTACATCAGAATTTGCAATCAAACACGACCCTTCCAAAGCCATGGCCGTCATGCTTGCATAGAACATGTGCAAGATCTTTTTCTGGGGCTGGGAGTGCAGAGATGCTGGTCAGTACATTAAAGGCTCAGTTAGCTAAATGTTGGATACTGCCCCCACTCAGCAACAGTTGGATAATAATTACAATATGATTATATATAGCCCGTAATAGGACCCCTAATATAGACTGTTACTGGGTGGGGGCAGTACCCAAGCTAAATGGAAGCATTAATCAGGAATGCTTTCGCTGATGTTCTGAATTCATTTTGCCGTGGAGGTACTGATCCACTTGAAGGCTTGTTTCTGTTGTCATCGCCTGGGGGGAGGAGCTTCTTTAGCCTTCAATCCCTTTAGCAGTTTAGCACCCCTCTTGGAATTCCCAAACATCGGTAGCTCTAAGCCCTGAACGTTAAACCCCTCAACCCCAAACCTTAAATCCAGCATGCTGAGGATCCTGTGATCGTGTGGTTTGGTGAACATCGTGAAGTCTTGGCGAGCTCAATTTCACATAGAGACCTCCTTAAGATTCAAAACCGGGGGCACTGGACGCTAAACCCTAGAACCTAGGCCCTAAACCTTCAATTCTGGGCCCCTTCAGGTGTAGGAACGTTCCCTAAACCCTCAACCCGCTAATTCTGGGTCCCTTTATGCCTTTCAGTATAGGAATTTTATATTCCCTACACCCTAAACCCCTAATTCTGGGTCCCTTTACCCCTTTCAGTATAGGAATTTCATATTCCCTAAACCCTAAACCCCTAATTTTGGGTCCTTTTACACCTTTCAGTATAGGAATTTTGTATTCCCTAACCCTAAACCCTAAACCCTAAACCCTAAACCCTAAATCCTAAACCCTAAACCCTAAACCCTAAACCCTAAAGTACCTTTCAGTATAGGGATTTTTGTAAGCACAAGCATCCTGTCAGCCATGGCCTCGGCGGAGCCGTTGCTCCCTGGGCTCACTGATGAGCAGGCTTGGAGTTTGGGGTTTTAGGAATTTGGGGTTTAGAGTTTAGGGTTTGGGAATTTAGGGTTTAGGGTTTTAGGAGTTTGGGGTTTTAGGAATTTGGGGTTTAGAGTTTAGGGTTTAGGGTTTGGGATTTAGGGTTTAGGGTTTTAGG